CCCCCCCCCCCCCCCAGGAGCGGGGCAAGTTCTCCCAGAAACAGTTCTGTCCAAGAACTCTGTGAGCAAACTCCCCTCCTCCTAAAATGGTATCTGGAGGGATTCTCTCCCGGGGCTTTCCCTCCGGAGGTGGGTCCCCGTCACTCTCCAGCCCCAGGAGTGAGTGCTGTTTCAACCCGGCCTGGCCGGTTTTTTGTTGATTTTGTTTGTTTGTTTTTTTTGGAAAAGGAGCAACTGCAGGCAAGTCTTGGTTAATGAGCCAACCCAAGGGCCTCCCCCCTGCCCAACCCCCATAAGCTGGCCTCTTCTCCTGACTCTGCCCCTCCCAACGCTTCCCCTCGTTCTGTTTCCCTCCCTCCCCATCTCCAGCTTCCTTGCCTTCAAGATTGCTCTGCGTTTCCCTCCAACCTTCAGACTGGGGTCTCAGTGGCTGGAAAACCACAGAAAACCTTGGTTTTTTCTAGAGAGTGAAAAAGATGATGGGGGAATGAATGAGTGGACCCTGCTGGGTCTTCATCTATTCCTTGCCAGCCAGGGACATTTTACAGTTTTATTGGAAGTAAAATCTAAGGCCCTCGGTGCTAAAATCAATCAGCCGATTGATCCATCTGCTCATCTGTTGATTATCTGTTTCTCTATCTAGCTATCGATGAATCTCTCCTTTGGCCCCATCCTAATCTTCATTATTTAATCAATCCGCATAGACAGACCTGGTGACGATAATGGATCATCTTTGTTTTCCTCCGAGGGAAGCGAATGGAATGTTGTGCTTTCGCCATCGACCGGGGCTCAGGGTTTTCTCAGGGAACTGTTTCAAGTTGAAATTCGCCTTCCTCCTTGTCTCTGCCTGACCTTCCCGGTCAAGTCAGGCAGGGCCAGGACAAGGTTCTGCTGCTGCTGATTCCTGTGCTGTTTCTTGGGCTGGGAGCTCTGTGTGTGTGTGTGTGTGTGTGTGTGTGTGTGTGTGTCCACGGGGAATGGTTAGGCCATGAAAGTGTCACACAGTAACTCTTTTCAACTCAGGAGCCACCTTCAAGGGAGCTGGGAAAGTTCCCCAAAAGAGGAAAAAGAGATAGAGAAGTTCTCCATTGAACTTTCATTCCCTAATTCTGCTGGCAGCTTTTCTGTGTGTTTTCCTTCCATAAGTGACTTATGTGTGATCTTGTTTCCAGAAGGTAGGGAGTGCGTGAACTGTGGGGCAACGTCTACCCCACTGTGGCGTCGAGATGGAACAGGGCATTACCTGTGCAATGCCTGTGGGCTCTACCACAAGATGAACGGACAGAACCGGCCCCTCATCAAACCCAAGCGAAGGCTGGTGAGTTGTCCTAGGGAAGCACCGGCCCAACACTCTCCGTTTTGTGTCTTTAAGTTCCTCTCTTCAGGAGGAAGAGCTTTCTGCTGGAAATTGGCAGGACGGCTCAAAATCAGCTTGCTTGGGATAGTTTTCTTTTTTCTTCTTTGTTTTCTGTTTTGCAAATTACATATACAGAAAGGTCCCCCTGCCCCCGCCTTTCTCCCCCTCCACGGTTCTTAAGTCACTTATCATATTTTTAAGGATGCTGGCTTCTGGGTTATCAAATCTTAAATGTCTTCACTGATAGAATGATTGCTTTAACAGGACCAGGGTGACTGATTTAAGATGCATTGATAGTCACGGTTTCACAGAGGAATTCAGTTCGGGGATGGAGTGTCCCAGGTGCCACCCGAACTTGTTTCTGAAGTCATACAAGTGGGCTCCTAGGAAGTAATTACAGTCTCAGGGTTGCCTTAGTGCCACAGATGAGATCTCATGTGCCAGGGCTAATTAACTGAATTTCACAAACAGCAGCCATTGGGCTTAGTGGAGTTCTTCTTCCTCCTTGGTCTGAAGAATTGAGGAATTGCCACAGGTAATTCCTGTGGGGAAAACTGTGTGATTCCTGTCCTGCTTCTTGGTCTCCCCTAGTGTCTGGTCTTATTTTCCCTTTGAACTCCTGCCGGTCGGGTGATAGTTTCCTCTCTCCCCCCTCTTTGTCCCTTTCTTAAACCTCTTGACCCCTAGGAATACTTGAGAAAACCTGGCACTGGCAAGCATTTATAAGGAAAACTAGCCCGAGAGGTTCATTTGCAAACTTGTCTTTGGAATCTCAGGCCAGATTGAATAGCAAGTGTATGTAACAGACAAATAAAAGCAGGCTTGGCAAATGATAACTGTAACCACAGTCAAGAGATCAAAATGCTTTTTGTGGTGATTCACCAGGTAGAGAGGGGAGGAGGGGAATTTCCCCATGCAAATTAATGGATGAAGCATCATCCCTCAGATTCTAAGGTGGACCCTTCCCAAATCCTCTGCATTCTTTTTAAAGAATTATTTGTCTTCTCCATCAGATTTTAGTGCAAATCAACACCTTTCACATCCTCTTCAGAAGGAAAATCTTTCTAGGGATGGCAGTGCCCACGTGACTTTAATTTTTGGCAATCCTAGGTCTCTAGGCTTTATTCTTTCTGATCTTTGCCCCTTTCTCCAGCTCTCTCAACCTTCCCCCGACTTGTCCCCATGCTCTTTGGTACTTTTTTTTTTTTTTTCCTTTCTCTCATGTGCAAAGCTAACTTCCTAGGAAAAAGCTGCCGGATATCTGAGCTCTGGAGATAACTCATAAACAACAACTCAGCTTCCCCAACTTAAACATCAAGATGTTTGAACGTATCAGAACAAGACGTGTTTGAAAAAAAAAATGGCTGGAGATGTTAGCACAGAATGAATATGATCGCACCACAAAAGAATGTTCTGAATCACTCAAAACCTGGCCTTAGGAAAAAAAAAAAAGAGAGAAAAAGAAAAGGAAAGAAAAACAAAAGAAAGAAAACTAACAACAAAAAACTTCTTGTTAAAATAAGTCATGGTACCATTATAATTGGACTTTTTCTTTTTCTTTTTTTTTAAGGTAAAAGTAAAGTAGGAAAAAGAGAGCAGTAAAGTGTCAGACCCCGTAGTTGTCTGGTTGATAAGCAAGAGTACATTTGACATTTTCTTGGGGTTTCTTCTGTCTGGGTAGATTGTACAGGAGGGCTGGGCTTGCATTTTACATAATTTTGTCTTCATTCACCTTTCATAAGAAATCTCTAGAACTCTGAGTAATAATTACTTTTAATTCTAGAGTTCCTTTGCTGTCACATATGAAGCTGCCTTCTCTTTCTTACTCATCTCTTCTGGGTGTTTTTTTATTTTTAGTTCCATAGAATTCACATGCTCCAGAGAAACACTCGGGGCCCATTCAGGATATATATACGTATATTTTTAGCCCTTAGACGTATTTGACTTCTGAATACCTAGAACTTTCTTTTTGTCCTTTCCTATATCTCCTGTTCCTCCTTCCCTGCTCTGTCTCTCCAGTTTGCTGCTTTTGCACACTTGCAGACTTGCTGAAGACCACCCTGCCTGCCCCCTCTGTGTAGTCAGCTCTTCCGTAGATGCATATCTAACACTGAATAAACTCGTGCAGGAAATAGAAGGGAAGACCCATAGAATTTTTTTCCTAGTGTTGCAAGATTTTCATAAGTCTCACAACTAGCTTGCTTTATTAATATACTTTGTCTTCTGCTAGTGACCCAAACAGTGTGACTTTCAGAGGTTCTGGATAAATTCTCATAAAGTCTAAGCCTGTTTGGATTCATGTTACCTTCAATACACTGCAGAGGGCTGCACCATGAGCGTGGTTATTTGGAACTCATTTTATCGGTTGGCATTGTGCACTTGTACCATCCCTTCTCAGTTGCTGGGCCGGGAAATCCGGCACTTGCATAGATATTAGTCTATTATATCCAAGTATTTCTTTTAAAGGGGGAAGACCAGTCGAGGACTATAATAATAATCACATGATAATGTAGTTGTCAAAATCCTTAAGCACCGATTTCATATATCATTTTCCTCCCAAGAGTACACAAGAGCAACGGTTAAGTCTTAAATTATCATGTTTCATAAAGGCAGGTGGACCAGAGGCATGTGGGATAAGAGACAGCACTCTTGGACTGCGGTGAATTATTTTCCAAATGGACAACTCAAAAGTAGAACCTTCTCAGTTATGAGGGAGAAGGGCTGTTTTTCCTTTCTAGTTCCTCAGGACACAGAAACTAAGAATTACTAAAAACAAACAAACAAACGAAAAAAGCCACAGCTCTGCTATTTAAACCTGTGGGAAGGGGCAGCATCTCTGTGGAACAATTGAGTAGCTTTGAAAGGAAAGGAATCAGCTTGGTTCATTCAGAATTGCCACTGGGTTTTCAGTATCTGACCTCTTCGGGTGTTTGGCCCAACTTCTTGCTGGATAAAATACTGAGGGAAAAGCACACCCTGATCCCTGTCCTTTCGTTCTGTGCTTTCATAACCATGCCAGAATTTTCTTGATCACAGATAAAGACCAGATGAATTCTTTTTTTTTTTTTTTTTGCGGTACGCGGCCCTCTCACTGTTGTGGCCTCTCCTGTTGCGGAGCACAGGCTCCGGACGAGCAGGCTCAGCGGCCGTGGCTCATGGGCCCAGCCGCTCCGTGGCATGTGGCATCTTCCCGGACCGGGGCACGAACCCGTGTCCCCTGTATCGGCAGGCAGACTCTCAACCACTGCGCCACCAGGGAAGCCCACCAGCTGAATTCTTACTCCTTCTCTTGCCTTTGATAATATTTTTGAGTCCCAGGGACCGAAATAATTTTGCAGTTGAAATTTTCTTTTTATGTTGCAAGGGGGTGTGAGGAGATGAGCGATATATGATTACAAGTGACCCAACCTCATTTCCTTTCAAAAGTTTTTGAGCTTAAGTTTTCTTTTTTAACGTATGGATATAGGAAATAGTCCCCTTATACATTTAAGTGCGTCGAAAAGTGAAAGAAAAATCTCCCTTTTAAAGGAAATGAGGGCAGTGACACAATCAAATAATGAAAATTCAGCTTGGGGCTGACTTCTGACCTGTAACCATTTTGCTCTGTGAACAGCAGATAGGAAGCCCCTACTTTCAAGAGGGTGAAATGAAATGAAGTTAGGAGCGGGGCCAGTGTTCCTGGTGGATTGCAAAATTCCTTGTTCCTCTCAGTTTGTCTCACTAACTGAAAGCCACCTAAAGGGATGAAGATGGCTGTCACCACGAGTGACCAGATCTGAAAGCATGGGCCGTGCACATTTAGGATGCCTGCAGATTGGCTGAGGTCTTGTTCACTTAGGATGTCTGGCTTGGTGCTTTCTCCGTGGTCCATCCCGTGTGTGCCAGCTGCACGTGCGCAGACGTTCTCTCATTCTGTCAGCACTCTGCCCTCCTTATCATCCAGCGTTTCTTTATTTGGGATCTAGAGAGCGCTTTTGATGCTTGGGTTTGTTCTTCCTTGGCTCTTGGTCTATTGTGATGACCAGTATCCTTGTTCAGAACTGCTTTTCTGGGCAGTTGCTCTTGAAAGAGACCTCCTGTAGGCCTGGCGAAGGGAGCCACTGAGAGCCTGGTACCCAAACTAGTCTGGTTAATTCAAAATTGCTACCCATAAAAATGAAACATCTGGCAAATTTTGTGGGGGAGGGAGGGGGGCTCGTTATGTCGGTGAGGTGATGTCGGCTTTCTCATCCTCCCGAATCCTTCCCCAGGGGACAGCAGGCTATGTGCTGACCACCGGACTATGGTCTGACCTGGTCCTATGCCAGTGGATTGGCTTCATGTTTCTTCTTGATGCAGCTTGATCTTTATTACTTTCATGTGGGCCACTTGCTAGTTTTGATTTCAGTGATAATTTTTTTTGAGTTGGTCTCCGTAGCTCTGCAAACCCATTTAACACTTATTTTGATTTTTATCCTCCCCTCTCTTCCCGCTCCCCAGTCAGCAGCAAGAAGGGCAGGTACGTCCTGTGCAAACTGTCAAACCACAACCACGACTCTCTGGAGAAGAAATGCCAATGGAGACCCTGTCTGCAATGCCTGCGGGCTGTACTACAAGCTGCACAATGTAAGTGTCCCGGGGACCCGCCCCCCGTCCCGGAATGGCCCCCTTCGGGTGATGCCCAGCGCACAGCATCCCCCTTCCCTGGTCCCCTTTCTGATTTTTTAAAAAAAAATTTTATTGGAGTATAGTTGATTTATAATGTTGTGTTTGTTTCAGCTGTATAGCAAAAGTGGTTCAGTTATACCTATACTATATCTATTTTTCAGATTCTTTATCCATCTAGGTTATTACAGAATACTGAGTAGAGTTCCCTGTGCTTTACAGTAGGTCCTTGTTGGTTATCCATTTGAATCGCCCAATGACAAGGCTCAGAAAAGGCATTGCAATAGGACCCAGTGTAGAAAAGGACTCGGCACAGCGTAGCCTTGCTGAGATTGAAGGCTTTAAAGCAGATGACCCAGCCCCTTAGTTTGTGTTGGAAACAGTATGCGTGGTGGGCCTGGTCTGGGTTTTTAAGGGGAGAAAAATCTTTCTCTTGGAAAAACCAAAGTCACCGGTCATATTTTGATGTTTCCTTGAGTTTTTAAACGTTTTGCAAAAAAAAAAAAGAGAGAGAATGAGCCCGTGAAAAGAGAAAGGTAAATAGGATTGTAATGCACGGCACAGGAGTTCAGGGCAATTCAGTTACTGAGGGGTAAAGAGGCTTTGGTGAATTTTAAACGGATTCTCTGAATAAAAGATACGAGATGAGAGATTTCATCTGCTGAGTTTGTCCTCACCAGGAGAACTCCTGCAAAGCAGCCGACGGAGGTTATCCTTACCAGGGAAAAGAACGCTTTTCTCCTTCTAGATCACATTAGCAGAATGATAATTGTCAGTCAGTCACATGGGTTTGGCTGTGTCATTTTTAATCTTTCCATTTGGGGGTCCTCCCATTTTGCAATATGTTGACCTTTAAAAAAAAATTTCAGCTATTTTTTTTTTTTTTCCCCTGCAGCAACTCTGGCTGACAGGCCATGACCCTTATGAGGCCAGAAGTTTGTTGATCCCAGAGAAAGAATTTTGTCTCTGTCTGTCTGTCTCTGTCTGTCTTTCCCTGTCTCTCTCACATCATCTCTCTGGCTCTGTCTGGTTCTCCTGAAGTCTCTTGACCAGTCTGATTTTGGTGATGTCTGGGAGTGAATGGGGAAAGGCGGAGGGCTTTGCTCAGAGCCATTCTGGCAGTCAACGCATCTTACCCAGAAACACCTGGGAACTGGGGAGGATGCTTTTTTGGTTAGAGTTTTTGAATCACAGGAGAACTTCCCAGGGTGACCCCAGCAACCTAGTCCTTTTGTGCTTCTTGGGAATGAGTTGATTTGATTCCCGGGGACCCCCGTAACACTTGCCTCCCTGCCCATATGCCGTCCACTCTCGAGAGGAGGGGCCCGGCGCTGACGGAGCGGGGCTCTTACTATAATCCATCGTTTCTCTCCCACACATCCTCAGACTGCGGTCTGTGTACATTTATCAGCAATGAAACCCCAGGCCCGTTTTCACTTTGGGGAATTTCCTTACTCACTGCCGTGGAGAGAAGCAGATTTGTGATTAAAATCTGGAAGATTTGGGGCCTTAGGGTTTATGAGCTCCCCAGTGGTTGGTACAGCCGATCAAATGATTTTGGGGTTGTAATGTATGGTTTTGCAAAGAACTTTCATGTCACTTGATTACATTTGAGCCTCAAAGAGTCCCATGATGTAGACAGGGCAGAAGGTATTTTGATTTCCCTTTTACTTGAAGAAATGACGACTCAGAGAAGTAAGGAACATGGCTGTTGATGTAGAAGGGCCAGGATGGATTTCTGAATTGCGAAAGGCCTTGCGGGGAGATCAGTAACCTCGGGACTGATAGGGAACAGAGAAGAGTAAGCACCTCATTTTAGAATGTACCAAAGTTCTGTTCAAAGTAATGAATTGAGTGTGTGTATGCACTTCTTTCCTATTTCCACAGAAGTATAGGAATTATGAGAAACGAACCAGCTATAAATTTCTTTGACTGCTCAGCCACAGTGAGATAGGCTGTCACTTGTGTCCAATCTAAAAAAATATCTATTTCTGAAGAATACGAATTTCTCATTAAATCGAAGACAGGTCAAGGAAGCTTCTTCAGTCCTCACTCCCACCCTATTCCAAATTAGCTCCCGACTTCATGGCTGGGCCCCAGTGGCTGGGAGATAGAAGCGTGCTCATCCACCAGAGTGGTTCTTCTGCCTTTTCTGGTTTAGTAAGAATTCACAGAAGGAGGCGGATTTGTTGTGTATTTAACAATAAGAGATAATAATCTATTAACATTCTCCTCTTGTTGTGTTTTGTTCTGCCCATCGAGATACCATGCACGACCTAAGTTAGTTCCTGTTTTCTTATCTAGGTGTGTAGATAACTACCTATCTCAGTATCAGTGTTGGGACTAGTTATCTGGCTTTGTGTGGCTATCTGTGTAACTAGATATTATATTTAGATACCTGGCTCTGTATATCTAGATATCAGCGTAAAGAGCCATGTGTCTAGGCAGTATCTTGGGGGAGATTCAATGTGACAGTAGATTCCTATCGCCTCTGTAGGCTGCATCTTTATCTTGATTATGACTTTGAGGAAGGAACCCTGAGATGTTCTTTGGGCAACGACCTTTTAGGTCCTCTGTCGTCACTCACGTGGCCTTCCTGCACGAGGGGGAAGGCAGGTGTCCGTCCCACGGGGTGGTTCTGTACCCCTCTCCAGGTGACCAGCTCAGGCCCAGGAAGCTGTGGGTTTGCTGATACCAGTAGTGTTGTCGGAGCCTGGCCTTCCTGGCTGCTAGATTCTTTCTTCCTTAACTATCCCTTTCTAGCTTTTGGAGCAAACAGGCAGATCCTAGGGCCATGAAATCTTCCCTTCCTCCACCCTTGAGGACCCTGGAGGAAGGAGTTGTTTGTTTCCCGAGGAGTCAGGAGTGACTGAGACCCTGACCTTCCCTCTCTGAGTCCCTTTGCCCATTTCCCCAGAAACATGGCCAGATGTGTGGTTGGTTTGCTCTACGGGGCAGATGGCCGCTATTGAAGTCAATCTGATTCTGACTCCTCGTGGGGAATGATCTCAGTTTGCTTTGTCAAGTCCCCTCTCTTGAATCTTCTCCCCACCCCCCTAAAACAAACGTGTATTCAAAACAAAACACATGAGGCTTATCAGAAAGAGAGCGATGGTCTGCTGCCCCGGGGACGGAAGACTAGTGCTTGCCTCTGTCTCTTTACTTAACTTCAGGCCTGGTCTTTGATTTTTAGGAGAGTGCTTTCAGGCTAGCACAGGGCTTTGTACCCCGTAAGTGGATATTAAATTCTTGTGGATTGGTTGTTTCGCTGTTTGTCTAGTAAGAAGTGGATAGTCAGGACCAGGTAGAAATTGCAACTTTCAGTCCCCACCGTTGCTGTGACGTGGGCAAGAGCTTATGTTTCGGAAGGACACTTTGTATTAAATTATGACCCCAGAACTTACACATTTCAGGGGAAGATTTTACAGCACCACTTGTTTAGAGAAGTTCGTCAGAAGAGAGACAACCAGACATGACTTTGAAGAGGGAAGCAGTCCTAGCTTCTCAAGGCAGAGACAAACACTTAAGATCTATTGCCTTGCAGTACTTGCACAGTCCTAACACAGATTTTGGACCAGTAGACAAGATATTATTTCCCCCTTGAAAATCCCTCCATTGCCTCCATGCTCATGAATGAGTCTAAGGTCATTCTAATGGGAGAAGACAAGTTATTATTATATTTTAGTTAGCAGAGAAATACAGCCATCTTGGGTGGGTCTCTAGAATATGGTCCTTGGAGACAGAAAGTTCCCTGAGGCAAACTTTCCCCCAAACGATTGGTGCAGATGAATGTAATGAATAAGCCCTGCTTGGAACACCTTACCTATGGCCTCTTGGTTTCTGAAATTGATAGAGGCTGACAGACCCCCACCGCAGAACCCTAGCCTGTAGGACTCTGGGTCCCTGGGAAGGAGGCAGGAAGGTGGGGAGGAAGGGGCCCCCTGAAAGCAGATGCCTGATCTGGGGCAGTCAGAGGAACCCGGGTTGGGGTGTGAAAGTCTGCACTATTTCAGAGCCAGCCAAATAAAGTAAAAAAAAAAAAAAATTGATCTCTGTTTAGATTAACAGACCCCTGACTATGAAGAAGGAAGGCATCCAGACCAGAAACCGGAAAATGTCTAGCAAATCCAAAAAGTGCAAAAAGGTGCACGACACGCTGGAGGACTTCCCCAAGAGCAGCTCGTTCAACCCCGCCGCCCTCTCCAGGCACATGTCCTCCCTCAGTCACATCTCACCCTTCAGCCACTCCAGCCACATGCTGACCACACCCACGCCGATGCACCCGCCCTCCAGCCTCTCCTTCGGACCTCACCACCCTTCCAGTATGGTCACCGCCATGGGTTAGGGTCCCTGCTCGATGCTCAAAGATCTCCAGGCGAGAGTCCCTCCAGCCCCTTCTACGTGCATTTTCGCAGGAGCAGCATCATGAAACCGACACCCGATGGATCTATATGTTTTTGCAGGCAGAAAGCAACACGATGTTTGCCACTTGGACAGAGGAGCCCGCTGTGGTGTCTGTGTTCTCACTCCCTGAATCTGGATACCATTTGTGAATAAGCCATTCAGACTCATATTCCCTATTGAACAGGGTCTCTCTAGTGCTGTGAAAAAAAAAAAAATTGCTAAACATTGCATATAACTTATATTGTAAGAAATACTGTACATTGGAAGAAGACTTTATTGCCTGTGTCAGGAAGGCACGAAGGACGCCATGCATTTTAAGGACGATGGAGGAAAATAAAGTGTGGAAATTAAGAAGAAACTAGGTCTGATATCCAAATGGACAAACTGCCAGTTTTGTTTCCTTTTCCTGGTCACAGTTTGATGCATTAAAAGAAAAAAAAAAAAAAAAAAAGAAAAAAAAAAAAAAAAAGGAAAAAAAAAAGAAAAAAAAAAAAAAGGAAAAAAAAAAGAAAAAAAAAAAAAAGGAAAAAAAAAAGAAAAAAAAAAAAAAGGAAAAAAAAAAGAAAAAAAAAAAAAAGGAAAAAAAAAAGAAAAAAAAAAAAAAGGAAAAAAAAAAGAAAAAAAAAAAAAAGGAAAAAAAAAAGAAAAAAAAAAAAAAGGAAAAAAAAAAGAAAAAAAAAAAAAAGGAAAAAAAAAAGAAAAATGTTGTAGGCGAATCATTCGTTCAAAGCTGTGGGCCTCTGCGTAGGAAATTCTATCACTCCGGGCAACGCGTTACACTCCCAGATTGCCATGGAGGGTTCAGTTAGACTTTCCTAGGCCTCCATGCTTTGTGAACAAGTCCCTGTAATTGTCGTTTGTATGTATAATTCAAAGCACCAAAATAAGAGAAGTTGTAGATTTATTTCATCACATTATACAGACTGAATTGTTGTACAAATTTATTTCCTGCTAGTGTTAAGAACTGCTTTTTTTGTGTGTGTGTGTTTCCATTTTAATATTTTCCTTCTCTCTCAATTTTTGGTTGAATAAACTAGATGACGTTCAGTTGACCTAAGGCGGTTGTGCTCCACAGGGCTGATTTTGTTTTTCCTTTTTGTTCCTCAATGATATTTATTAAATAGCTTCTAAGGGTACAAGAGCATCTGTCCTTTGTCACTTCTCCTGCAGCCTGTGCTATGAGGGTGGCAGTGTATGAGCTACCCACGTGCATGTCAGCGGCTCGGGCCCGACAGCCCGGGTTCTGAGAGCAGCCTGGCTGAACATTAGCACCTGTTGTGTTCTGTGTTAGTGATCACTGCCTTTCATGCAGTCTGTTGGAATAATAATATAAAAAGATAATAAAGTTAAAAGATTTTAAAACAACCACATAACATGGTATCAAGAGTGGTGGCCAAGCTCTTCTAAAATCTGGTAGCTCTAGGTAATTGAAGCAAAAGGAGTTTAAACAAAACAAAATAAAGCGCAGACTTGTTCAGTTATTCACTAGGAGATAAGGCAGACCCCAGACAGTCAACATCAATTCATTTAGGAAACTGGGGATCTTTGGGGCTCATGGGGTGCAGCCCAGAGGAAGGCATCCCCAGGCTGGAGAAGGTTCTGTGGTCCTCTCTGAGCTGCCGTTCCCTCCTCCTTGTCTAGCCTCAAGGAGACGATCTTCTAGCAGGAGAAACAGGAAGATTTCCTCGTTGGGATTCTCGGGTGGATTTGCAGTTGGTGGATCTCGGCAAGATGGAAAGGAGCTGGGCTTCACGTCTGTTTTGCTTTTCTACCGTTGAATTGAATAACATCACAGTGAAGGGTTGATTGGAATGTTTGCGAAACATGAAATAACCATTTTGTAACCTACGCTGTATAGTTTCCTTTTAGTCTGTTGACAGAATGTGTAACGCTGGCACACATTTGAAAAATCTCTGTTAATCGCCTCTCTGCTTTCTTAGCAAATATTTCAAGCCTAAAGCTCAATGTTGAAATAAAGAAGTAGAGGATTACTGAGATGCAAATGAAGATCTGACTGGCTCCTAATTCGGATGTGGTTTCTGGTTACTTGTGAAACACCCAAGGCAGTGGTCGTCTGTTGCCATCTTAAACTTGGGCGCTGTTACTGGAGAGTTCCAACGTTTCAGGATTTGCCACTTTTTTCCTTCATACAGATTTGAGTGAATGCCCTTTCACCTTAAGAACAGGAGTTCAAATTCTTGACATTCTTGGGGGTAGGAGAAGGGCGGGCAGGGGTGGGGGGCACACGTAGCAAAATCCCAAACTCAACACTCCAGCTACATTTTGTTTTAGGTGCTATAGCGATAGTGGCACATTTGATCCTATTCCTGCCTCAGACAAATGTCATTTCATCACTCTGTATGTGGATTTTACATTCTAAGATATTTTTGGAGGATGATGCAAAAGATTAAAAAAAAAAAATGTAGCTATTCTCCAGTTTCTCCTTTCGAATGTGATCATATGTTTTCATGGCTTCAATAGTTTTGTTCTTTCTTTTTTTCTTCACTTAAAAGAAAAAAGACACACTAGAACAGCAACAGGAGAGAGGGTTGCCTCTAGAAAAACAGAACAAGATTGTAGATCTAAAATGCTGCTCCAATATTCTTGAGTAAATTGTACTCCTAATTAATTTTCCATCTCTTCTGCTTCGCTTTTGAAATGGCTGCATTTAGCACATCCATGGGGATATATGTGAAGATTTGGAATATTTCTTAAAAACATTTTAAAAGCCAACATAATAGAAAAAAAACAAACTACATAGTTGTTGAACAGTTTTGCCATTTATGAACGTTCCTGATGTAAGAATTCTGAATGAAAACACTTCTTTCATTGATGCAACAAATAAATACCTGTTGAGGATCTAGGTTGAAGTCCATTTCAAAACTTTTTTTTTTTTTTAATTAAAAAAAAAGCAGATTAGGAAATAGAGAAACCAAGGTTCCAGTGTCTCAGTCTGGTGACATTTACAGGTTATTCCCCTTTGAAAAAAACGACGTGAACTGTGGCGAGGTTGGGCCCCTGGGTTGGTCTCCATGCAAGCAGAAGGTGTGACACAAGTGGGGACACAGAACCTGCCTTCTGAGAGCAATGTCTATTTTCTAAACCTTTTTTAAGCGTTTAGAATTATTTTTAAAGCTGACTCCTCATCGCAGGACATCATTTTAGTATTTCCTAAGTCTAGAAACTGTGTGAAAGGAGCAAATTCTTCCCAGGTAATGCACGTCGGATCCGAATTCAGTAAAACACCTGTTCACAAAATTCAAACTCAGAAACTCAAATGCCATCCATTTCCCACATCTGATATGTTCCTCACAATGGTGAATTGTCCCACTGACCTTTCAGAGATTTAGAAGCATTATGATTCCATGTTCTCCTGTGTACTATCCCCCTGTCCTCAACCCCAAATCCACCCCAAATCCTCAAACCATTCTCGTGATCCTTCCTGGACAGCAGGCATTACTGACTCTTCTGTAGAGAAATTCCCTTCCATTTCCAAGCTAAGCAGAGATTAAAGAATTTTTTTTAATTAAAAATTTAAAAATCACAAAAAGGTGCGAAGAAAACCTTTGAACGGTAGCATTTTATCGTTTTATCCACAGAGCAGAAATTTTAACCATGATCCAAAACAGCTGAGTAATACACCAACCCCTTTCTGCACTTTCAAATGAAATGAACTTCTGAAAAACATTTTCATTTTCACTTATTCCATCTTTGCTCATATTGGTGTGAACATACTCTCAGACTGGGACTTGTCTGCACTTCTTTGCAAAAACCCAATAAAGGGAAAACCCCAGAATTCAGAGAAATTCACTGATCGTCGGGAATGTCTGACCACCACTGTCTTAGGAGTCTGGGAACTTGGGTTTTTATTCCTGGCTGTGCCACTAACAAACAGGGTTACCTGGGGATTTTCGTTTGATTTCTCTGGGGGTGGGCTCTTTACATCATTAGAAGACATGCTGTCTAAGACCCATGTGAGAAGAAAAATGCCATGATTCCACTGGATTTTTAAACTTCTTTTGGAGAACATCCTTTATTAGGAAAGACGTCCTCACACCCCTGGTTAGAATCTTGAGCAGGCTGTAATGAGGTTCCAGCTGGGCTGGGGTCGTCCCACTCTCATCTGCCCTTAGTACTATCTTGCAAGACACAAATTAACTTGTATTTTGTGACTGTCACCCTGGGACAGGAGTTAAGTGTCCCAGCCTGCGGATTCCCTGCTCTTTCCGCAATGTGTCCAGAGGCCCCTCTTGAGCGGAACACACAGGACTCGCTTGTTCTGCAGATGTTGGCAGTGTGATTCATATTTCACTCATCCATTGTGTAAAGAAAGTCTGCCTGAATTGCTTATAGCCCATTCTAGGGAGGTAGCCAGCGTCCAGCCTTTCTCTTTCCTTGTGTTCTCTCTCTCTCTCTCAGGAGAAGAGGATCAGCAGAGGAAATAGACCAATGTTCCCCCAAAGCTGTTCCTTTTGGGGTGCCCTGTCCGGATTCTGGTTTCTCTGGGCCGTTCCTCCGTCACCCTTGACCTTCTTTGCAGGGGATCCTGGTACATTAGACACATTGTTTGCGGTGCGCTTTTACAATCCCCTGTCATGTCTGTGTGCACAGTTTGGAGTGGGGATTTGGAGAGCGGGCACCCTCCCTGTCTCAGGCTAAACAAAAGACGTGCAGTACAAAGCACTCCGCCATGCTGCCAGGGCCCAGCAGCAGTCCCAAGGCCTGCAAATACCTGGAGGGGAGCTGCTGATTCCTAGGGAAGCAGCTGTGGGCCCAGCCTTGTGCAAATGAGGGATGCAGTGTGGTGACAGGGCAAACCAGCCCCTGGCACCGGCTCCTAATTCAGTGCATTGACCTGATGGGGACCCCCCTGCAGAAGGATCTGGATGGGGTCGGCTCGATGCCCAGACTACCAGGTAGTCGACCAAGACATCAGCCCATCTGGTCTAACTTTTTTGGAGGAGAAGCCAGTGGACATTTCCAGGAAATGAAAGTTTTGCTTTTTTCTTTGGTTTTTGTTTGTTTGCGTTTTTCTGATTATAGAATTAGTTAATACTTCTTAACCAAACTTGTAAAATACCTCTCAAATTTTTAAAGTTAAGTTTTACTTTTTTCCCATTTTTTTTTTCCTTTTTTTTTCAAGAAACAGAAGAAACAAGATTGGGGGGGGATGCTGTTGAACGGGCCATGTGTGGTCCAGTCTTTTGAATAGTTGGTTTGGAATCGGTTTTTGAATCTGGTGGCCCCAGGTATGGGGCTGGTGGAGCGGGGGCTTGGGTACAGCATGTGCTTTTTGAGGGTCATTACAACTCCATCTTATGAATTGGGAGGGGTCGTTAAGTAAAATCCACCTGGTGAATGCGGCCACCCTCTCCTTCTTGGTATTGGGAGGTTTTCTCCCCCGCTTTGTCGGGCTGGCCTCTAACAGCTGGACAGGACAGCTAC